TGAGTCCACCAAATATCAAGTAATAATATGACAGTTATATTACTAAAACTAAAAAAAAAAATCATATAAATAAGGTTCAAATAATCATTTGATTAGCACTAGTTTTCACTAGCAGCCAGTATTCACTTACCCTATATATTTCTTTTTTTTTTTAAACCATACTTGTTCAACAAACACTGCTGGATAGATAAACAATTTAAGTATGTATTACAATGTAAAAATAAGTAAATTGTAAAAAAGTTGATACTGTCAAATAATTTCTAAATGAAATAAAATTATGTCCCAGGCAATTAACTTTGAAAATAATATGTTTTGATAAACTTTCCTATACTCATTTCTGGCTCTACAAAAAAGAAAAACCTTTAGTCACTGGGTAGAAAAGAAGACATTTTGGAGAAAATTTTTTAATGGACAGCTCCTGCCTTGTATGTCAATTACAATGTTTCAGACCCCATGCAGAGTCTTCAACAAATACAAAAAAGCTTCTTCAAGTGTTTAACACACAGCCTAAAGATAACTTCAAAGAAAATAAGAACTGCAATGGGAACTTTCACTACCAGAAGTTAGGTCAGATACTCCAAGTAATTACTCCAAGCCAAACAGTAGGAGATTCGTGAAAGGAGTAGGTATCATGGAAAATTCCATAAAGCAGGGGCAAATCAGGCTTGTATGACTAATGGTTAAGTTTGAAATGGTAGTAGAAAAAAAAAGATATTTAATACCTTGCAAATAATCCAATGTAAAAGGCAATATAGAAAAACTTTAGTTTTCACTTGAACAAAAAATAATTATTAGATGCTTAACTTCAATAGACTAGAATTAATGAAGATCAATCAAATGGAATTCATTGTGTAAAGTAAAGGAGAAAATTTCAATCTTTTGTTTAACTTATTGTGAAAATACTTTTCTCCAACACTATTATAAGGCACAAGAAAACTCACTTTAAAGTCTATTAAATGGATGATAATTATTAAAGGCTCAGCAAAAGATAGAGAAAGACTACAATATTAATCATCCACTAGTATATATGTAGCCTCACCTAATAATAAAATATATATATATATTATTATTATTGTTAGGTGATTTTTTTTGTAGCAGACAGGAATTTTGAATACACACTTTAAATGAAAATCAGAGGCTACATAAATCCATACTTACCAGCCAAACCTACTCTTGTCGAATTTGCTAAAGCAATAGCTTCTTCTTCAGTTTTAAATCTACAATAAAGAAAAGTATATCAAAATGTTCTCAACATTGTTCCTATCCAACTGAATGTATACTCTTTTTAACAAGTGTGTAGAAACTAAAGTACAAGTAAGGTGTTAAAAGAATGGCATGATACGATTAATTTCATATATATTAAAAACAAAAAAATGTGCTGGTGTTTGAATGGGCAGGATTACCTATTAAAATATTTCATGAAAGTTAAAGAACAAACAGATTTATCTATATATAACATGCCACTCCTGATTAATTAGAATTACCCATCTATCATGCAACATTTTCTCATTCTACATTATACGGCAATCATTAGATCAGTGGATTACCTATCAATACACAACATGCCAGTTTCCGGATAAACACTGTCACCTACTTATTCACAACATACCAGCATCTGAATGAACATTATTAAATGTTCATGTACACATCACTTCTTATTTCTGTTAATATTTCCTTGCTCTACTATACCTTACCCAGGACATTTACTCCTGAAGATGTTCATTTTCTCTCTGATCTACAGTTTATTTAACTTTCCTAGACCCCTATGTACGAGAACAGAAATGGTGTCACATTTATGCTAGGATTTAAGTAACAAAACCACAAACTTTGAAGCTCCAAAATAACCTCAATTTTAGAAAAACCACCTAATTACAATGAAGATTATGGGATAACCTTAATTCCAATAACTGTTTTCATAACAAAAAGAAAATTATTAACTATTAAATAGTCCATAAAATCAAAGTAAAGAAATTTTTGAACTAGAGATGACGTATCATTAACTCCCTACAAGTCAATGTTCATCAGATAATTAATATAACTAAGTTCTTGTTAGTTTCCGTTTCTCAAATTTAAGTGTAATAATACACTACAGTGGCATGGAATTCCTCCTTGTTTATATTAGTACATTTTCATCCAGTTGAAATTGTCAGAAGATGTTAAAGCGATGCTACTTAGTTGAGTTATCATGTTTTAAAAAAAAAATTCATCACTTTACTGTCAGATAGTTTGTTTAGCTAATTACTGTAGCACAACTATTCAAAGTTCAATGGATAATCTTCATACTTAAGCCTTTTATGGTAGAATGGCAAGTTTTAAACCACAACAATTAATAGAAATGTTCTTACTGTTAGAAAAGAAAATCAGTAAATTAGCTTACAATCAACTGTTTTCTTGGATAAATACACAAAATAATAGGTCTTTTAAGAAGTAAACTAATCAATTAGAAGAATTAAATATATCATAAAAATTTAACAAAGAGGTTTTTATAGATCATCTAGATAAAATATTTATTTTTTCCAATTATGGTTTAAGTGTCATAGAAAGTTGTGTTGGCCCATGGTGTAAAATTTGGCATTCCACACTCACACAAAAGAAAAAAAAGAGAGAGGATTATGTAATGAATTTCTAACACTTTCTCCAGCAACTGTCCAAATAAACTACTTGACTGGAATGTAACGAATTTTTCCACAACATAAGAACTGATGTAAGTTGCACTGTTTTAATATCTTTTAGTGATTACATTGGTACTTTATAAAGGGAAACAGGTAGTTATGCGAGCTAATGAAAACATGCACACTTGGAAAACGTATTGGCTAACAAATACACATATGAAGAAGTTTGTATGCTTTGGATTATTGTTGCAATGTTGCTTGAAAATTTGTATTGATCTATCTGACTGCTACTTTAAGGATAACTAGTGGTCCGTAACAACATTTTGTGATCTCATTCCAGATGACCAACTTTAATTCAGATGTCGATTATGTAAGAAATTATGTCCCTCTAGATATATCAGTGTAATATAAATATAATTATACTCAGATTTACATAAGTGGCACAACATACACATACAAAATTTTGGCAACAGAAAAACACCTACTTGAGGATAGCAACCACAGGTCCAAAAATCTCTTCCTTGTATACCAGCATGTCAGGCTGAACTTCTGTTATCAGAGTTGGTTGGAAAAAGTTTTCTCCAGCATCATGTTGTTTTCCCCCAACTAAAATGTTACCACCTTTCAGTACAGCATCTTCAACATGTTTGGAAACCTAGATAGAAACAAAATCCTGTCAATCTTCTTAATTTAAAAACAAAACTAAGTATTAAAATGTAAAGAAACTTAACGCAATTAAAACTAAATTATATTATATTTTTATGTTCATGTAATCACTTGGGCAATGCCATACTTCAGAAAGTATTGCTTTTATTGTTTGTCATGTACTATTTTACCCATTAGTGAATGATGTCCAAAAAAAAAATATATATTATTTTCTTTTTTGATTTCACTCAACAAAAACTATTTCATTAAAAGTTACACTGCTAAAACTTCAGCCGTTTATCAAGCAATCAGCTCAATTTAGTTTACATGATGTTGCAAGAAATCCATATCTATAATACAAATAATGAAAACAATTTTTTTAAATATTGGATGCTTAATTAATGAAGTACTTTGTTTTGAAACAAACTAATAAATAAATTTTATATTAAAAATAATACTTTCTATACCAAAAGCTACAGTTTGAGAAAGTAACATTGTCAGGTGTCTAATATTAAAAACAAAGTCAACTAGGCAAGGCTCAATTAATTTTAATTTATTTGCATTTTTAACCTTTTCCAAAAAGACAGTTCTTTTATTTTTGGACAGGAAATCACTGATATAAAAGTAACAATTAAGAACTAGTAAGTGTCCAACTATTAAGAAGTGCTTAAATTAGATGTATTTGTTCTTAAACTTTTTCCTACCAACAAATAAAGCAATTTGGTAGTTACAACAGGCAAAAATTAAGAAAAACACAACCAGTGCGAGTTGCTAATTTGAGTAGATTTATTTTGGGTTAATCCCCACCCCTCAATATATATTCACACACACACACATATTTTTTTTTATTATTCATTAAGATAAACTAGCTTTCTGGAACTAGGTATAAAACTACAAGTGATAGATAGTATATTAAAGTTTAATTAAACTTTATAAGAACATATTAATGTTGACTTCTAGGTCCCATGTTGCCCTTGTAATAACCAATGATAATGCACTACTGCAGAACACTGCAATTTCTACAGTATATGTTAGAAGCTTCTGTATAGGACAGCAAAGTCAATCTAGACCACAAACCTTGATAAACTTTTCAAAGGTCCTCCACTGCATGCAGATTGCAATAGGTTTTCAAGGTCACATTTATTGAGATCAAAAGACAAAGCTACAGAGACTTAACAGAAATCTTCACAGGTGTGTGTTCAAAATGGATTAGAAAGCTGTGATGATATTTTCAGTCATTCATAACTTCCCTATGAGGATAATAACACTGCTCAAGGTTGACTTGGTAGAGTTTTGGACCCACCACTGTCCTAAACACTCTCTTGTCTGAGGCATCTTTGGAGAAATATGACAGCTTTCTGCTTTGAAATATTATGTACTTTGGTTCTTCATCATTTAAAAATCTCTCTGTATGAATTTTTCTTTTTGAAAAGTTTGATCAGCTACTCCTCCAACCATAAGTCTATCTTGCAGGTATTTTACTGTCAAATGATTGGAAATTTGTTATAAACCAAATGTTCCCCCATGGTTTACATCTGCAATAAGGCATCACTGCATTATTATAAGCAATTTGTTCAAAGAAAGTTCTGTTTTTTCTTTCATAATCATGGCTTTCATTGTTTCAGGTTAGTGTGAAGCATGGTTAAAGGGCCCATTGCTGTCTTAAACACTCCTTAAAGCAAATTTTCCCACATTTATTGGAGAATAATGGAAACTTCATTTTCAAAATTTGCTCTCAAAATTTACAATTAATTCTTAGTATTGTAAGTTTAAGCACCTACAACTGTTTCTAAATTTAAATAAAAATGATTTAATTTTATTCCACATGTTAGGCTTGTTGGAAAAAGTTAAATCTAATGTGTGTGTGTGGTCTAATTTGGTCAATGTCTTTCCTACCAAGAGAAAAATCTACAATCACTCTTCGGTAACTTAGTTTTTATTTTAAGCTTATTTTTTGTGTGGCACTATTTATCTTTGACAAGTTTGTGTAACTGACATTTGAATTTACTAAGATAATATGTTGAATTGAACACAACTGCTGTGTTTTATATACATATACACACACACAAACACACATTTTTTCTTGAAGACAACTAAGTGTTACAAAGTTAAACAAATCGTTTCAATAAAAACTGAATATTCATATACTGTTTACATCCAATAAACATCACAACATGAATGTTTCCATGTGCAAAACAACTATCTGTATAATGTTATTAAACACTTTACATGTTTCCATGAAATTGGTGGATCATTTTGTCCACTGAAACATGTAGAACATGTTTTTTAACATTATACAAATAAAGTTACTGAGCACATGGAAACATTGGTGTTGTGATGTTTATTGAAAGTGTTCATAAGTGCTGTCACTAATGTATTTACTGTTTACTTGGTCATTGTCTTACCTTCTCAACAGCTTTTGCATTAATCAAAGGACCGATGTTAGTTTCTGGTTGAAATCCATCTCCAACAACTAGCTGGCTTTTTATGGATTCACTCAGTTTGTGAATAAATTCATCATGAACCTTTTCTTGCACAAGGAACCGGTTTGAACAAACACATGTCTATATATATATATATATATTAAAAAGAAAAGCAGACATAACTTTCTTTGTGCATCTTACAGTATCAATGAACCAAAAGATATACAAATTTTTAGACCCATAGAAAATATTGAGCTGAAAATTTATATACAAGTAGTTTACATTCTGCTCAAGATATTTTTTTACATTTATTGTATAAACCATAAGTAACCATAAAAAAAATTATTACAGCTTACAATACAATGTACAAATGTTATTGTATGTTTATTTATTTTTTATTGAATTCAGAGTTCTCTTAGAAAAAAATTACACAATTTAAAGTAATCCTCTAATAGTGGCTCATAGAATGGCTCCGAGTTTTTCAAGTAGAAACTTTTAGCTCATAGCTCCATCATCTCTTGAATGATTTGAGATTTAATTACAGGTTTGGACTCAGGAGGTCAAACCCTTTCAATTGATGTATTTGACCATGCCCAAAGTCTTAGATTAATTTACTTTAATCTTGCCACAGTTAATGAGGATTTCCTCTTGTTTTTAGAAAAACAGAGAGAGAGAGAAACACAATAATTATTATTTAATATTCTCCTTACTTCTAAGTCTAAAAGCTTAGTGTTAGAATTTAAAAATATAATCTTTCGCCAACTATTAAAATAAAAAGCTTTTACTTATACTTTGTAATAGTATAAATACATACTGTGTTGTAGTTGGGCTTAGAATTCTTCTACAACAAGTGTCTACAACTTGTTGGCAATAAATTCAATGTTAAAGGAACAGCATCCACTCCACTTGTTTTCAAAATAAAATATATATAATATATATTATTCCAAACATATATATATAAATAATCGGAACAAGTTAAGACATATGTACAACAAATTCTTCACACTATATATATATCTTCTTCTTGTCAAAAGTCCACTTAGGCCAATTTAATTACTTTAGAATTTTGGTTGACAAGCCGAACAACCAGCATCTGAAGAGGCTTAGACAGCTGTTCCAGCAAGTGAGGGCAGCAATATTCAACTGCATGATGATGAGGAGGGTGTACAACATCGAGCACTATGTGGATGACATTCTGACACATACTGCAAGATGGGTAGACCATCTGAAGAGACTTAGGCAGCTGTTCCAGCGAGTGAGAGCAGCAGGTCTCACCATCAGACCATCCAAGTGATGCATTGGATATTCTGTGCTGGAGTTTGTTGGCCATAAAGTGGGGGATCGACAGACAGCCATGGAAAAGGAAAATATAATCTGCATACAAGATACACCAGCTCCAATGACCAAGCAGCAAGTCAGATCCTTCCTGGGGTTAGCAGGATATTACAGGAAATTCATCCCAAATAATGCTGAAATTACTGCACCATTGACTGACATGACCAAGAAAGGCTTACCCAACAAGGTGAAGTGGGAACAACCACACCAGGTGGCATTCCAAAAGTTAAAGAACATGTTGGGAAGCTCACCAATTCTTATAATGCCAGACTTCAACATACATTCATTGTTCAGGATGATGCTTCATACATTGGAATTAGGGCAGTACTCTTACAAGAACATGAAGATGGACTGTTTCCAGTAACATATATAAGTAAAAAGCTGTTACATAGTGAGAAGAACTACTCCATGATTGAACAAGAGTGTATGACCATTATATTTGCCAATCGGAAATTCCATAACTATCTATATGGGAAGGAGTTCATCATCCAGACAGACCATCAACCACTTGCATACATTCAGAGGTGCAAGATCGACAGTGCAAGGATCACGAGGTGGGCATTGTACCTTTAGAACTACAGGTTCCGCAAAGGAACTGCAAATGTTGAAGCAGACTCTGTGTATGAACTAAGAACAGTCTTTGTATATAGTAATCAGAAAAAAAAAAATTTATCTTGAAGAGGGGTTTATGTCATGATATAAAAGACTGTTTGGTTCAGATATTAGTGATTAATTTATTTTTGTGAGTGAATATTTTATTATTGTTTAGTTTTTGTTATAAGAGTTAAAAGCAGATAATTGTAGGAAGTTTTGTTAATAATTCATTGATGTCGAGAATACAGAAGGCAAACAGATGAGTAAGTGATAAAGATATAAACAGCATGAGACAGAGGGAAGCAGAAGACAGATAATAACAAAAGAGAATAAAGTTGGTGTGAAGTTAACTACCATAGAAGTGATAGGCCTAACATTTAATATGTTAGAGTGAAACTAACAGTAGAAAAAAAAAAGATAAGAAAAATAATTTTATTCCGTCAAAGCGTGGTTCTAAAGTAATTGAATCAGCCTGAGTGCACTTTGACAAAAGGAACATAGGATCTTCAAAACAAAGAAGACCAAACGATTATGGTAACTCGCACCACAATTGTAAGTGAATCATAGAGAGTACTAGTGCGATAGAAATAGAGAAGACAGTTTGGCTTTTTAACTGAAATTCTAAAGTAACTGAATAGGCCTAAGTGGATATTTGACAAGAATGAGAGAACTACATATATAGTATTTATGATATGTCCATAATATCTATAGTGTTGAAGAATGTATTGTACATACGTTAACTTGTTCTGAATATATATATATATTATTTGGAAAACAAGTGAAGTGCATGCTGTTTATTCATCGTTGAATTTATCGCTAACAAGTCACACACACCTACTGTAGAAGTCCTAAGCCCAACAACAACATAGTATATATATATTTATACTATTAAGAAATATAACTAGAAGCCTTTCTATTTGACAACTGGCAAAAAGGAAAGTTATATATATATATCTATAATTTATAAAGTCTGACAGCCTGTAACTTTACTTTCTTCGACTATTGTCTGTGTACTGTTTCCACTCATCCCACACAATTTATGGCTTTATCACATAGTCGTCTACCCGTCTTCTAGAAATATCTAAATTCTCGACGTCAATGTTTTGCATGCAACGTTCGATAGTCTCAATATCAATGAATTATAAACACAATGCCCTACAATCATCTGCTTTTAACTCTTATTATACCAAAAACTAAACAATAATAGAATATTCATTCACAAAATAAATTAATCAATAATATCTAAGCTAAAAGTCTTTTATATCATGACACTTAGATATCTAATTACTTGGGCCTACATTAAAATTCAACCAAACCTCAAAGTCTTGGAAATAAATTCTCTTCAAATTAATTAATTCAAAAGTAGGATATTGTTACGACAGTGGAGGTCACGTGACACTTGTAACACGTCATGCTCTTCTAGAACGTTCATGAAACCTCAAGAGGCTACTAGATATGAGGTAGTCTTGTATATATAAGCCGCCAAGAACTGACGGCAACAATGTGTAATTGAACTGCGGACAAAGAGAGAGACGTATTGTTGAGTCGAGCACGTGAGAAGTTCTTTGAGAATTATAGCGTTTGTTATAGCGTGACTGTGGAAATCAAGTGTATTGCAAAGTTGTATTGAGAAAGAATAAACCAGTTTATTTAAGAAAGGACTTGTATCGCTAAAGTTTCATCGGAAAGAAATTATACGGAAAATTAACTAACGACCAGAGATGTAACAATATCAAGCTTGATGCATGTGTGGAAATTCTTATGAAATGATTTATTGGCAATATTTTGGTTTTAGTTTTAATCAATCTAAAACACAGCTATCAACAGGTGACTGGAACACAAAAGAGCTTGAGTAATACTACACTCACCAATCTACCAATCAGAAAGGGTAGTTATCAAATTATTCATTATAAGTACTACAGTTCAGAAAATTTATGGTGTATATATGGGTAATTCTCTGCACTTAAGGCACTATAAAAACAATCATTTTTGTAGCATATTTGCAATAACAACATCACCTCAATACAGTTGCTATTGTTTTTACAAGTCTTCTATGTAAGGCAACAGTAAATTTGTACTTAAAAAACAAAACAAAATTATACAACAATGAAAAAATGTGTACGAAGACATTTAAATTCATAATTAAGTAACCAAAAACAGGTTCACTTCACTCAGCTGAGTACCTCTACATGTTTTTGAGAATATAACCCCCAGTCTTCTGACACTACTATCAATGTGGAATATTCACTTTAACTTTTTTTTTTAATTATAGATCAAAAAGTTAAAAACTACAAATATAAACTAGGTCAGATGTACTGGCTTAATGTTCTTATGGGAACAGAATAGCATTTTGATTTATTTCTAGTTAATACAAACAGTAACATCATAGTCCAATAAGCTTATAATGAGAACAGCTGTTTAAAGCTTTCAAGCATACACACAATCAAAATACAGAGGACTGGAAGCAATTTTAAAAATGGAGAGTTTTATGACTAAATTGTATTATGTAACTATAACAGTAAACCGAAGCAATTTACGGAAATGGTTTTGTCAATTCACTTTCAAATTTTTAGTTTCAGAAGGGTTAAACAAATCACACACACACACACATATATATTTTAAATAACTTTCTAATTCTAAGTAATCAATTTTATAGCTAATCAGCCAATTACCAAATAGTGAGTTGATTAATCGTCACATGCCTAATGGGTGTCAGAAAACAATTTTTTTATAAGCAGTAAAAGTTGTCAGGCTCTCTCTTTGTTCAATAACTATGGACACCTCTTTCAAATAAGCACTATCATCTTTTAAATTCAGTTTTCTGATTTCAGCTACTTCTACTTGATGTAAATATAATTCATTTCACTCTCACCTGTCCAGAGTTTCGAAACTTTGATGACATAGCTCCTGCTACAGCTTTGTCAATATTTGCAGAGTTGAAGACAATGAAAGGAGCATTGCCTCCCAACTCTAATGAAACCTTTTTCACGATGCATGAGCATGTGCTGTGGATATTCACTCTCATTTTTAGTTTTTTTATAATACATTTATCTAACCTAGTATTGTAAACAAGATACTGCTTGCTTGACTGAATATATAATTAATTTTAACTAACCACTGAATGTTTTATTTCTAACAGCTTCTCTTGAAAGACTGTGCCTCAACTAATTTGTTTGTTTGTTTGTAATTAAGCACAAAGCTACACTATAGGCTATCTGTGCTCTGCCAACCATTGTTGATATCACATAAACATGTCTAAAAACTCAATTACACTGATTAACTATATCATTTTAATAACAAGAACTTTGCCTTTTAATATGTTATTTTGGAGTCTTTGATAATTATTCAAACTGGAGCTACAGAAGAGATTTGAGATTGCTAAAACAAATTTACTTTTTTAAACAACCAAAAACCTTGTAGAATTAATGTATAGAATTGAATTTGTGAACTCTTACTGATAACTAAATGACAGACAGAATAATCTGTAACTAAAACATATGGTAAGGATAACTACAGTAATATATACCT